TCATCTGTTTGCTCTTCCAATTACAGAGATGGCATTCCAGCACAGCAAAGTCACAGTTTGGACAACCTTTTCTGTTAAATTTTGCAACATCACCTCAGTTACCTTACTACTATTTTCTTAGTAATGCTGGTTTACACCATGACTTAGACCATAGATGTATATATATGTCTATATATAATGATAATTTACCAAGTTAGCAGAAAATAGTACACTTATTCATAATTCAGATCCCATACTTTTATTTTTTAAATGACATTTGCTGCGGTAACAGCAGTTCTATTTTTATATGTGTGTATGCATGTATATGAGCTATTAAGGAAGTTATTATATTTACTTTTTTCTCCCTCTGATTGCATAAATTACTAAAGACAGCTACAGAGAGTATTTCAGGTACAAAAATCTAGGAATGGGTGATTCTTCCATACATATTATATATTTAGTGCCCAAGCCTGTGTGATGCCGCATGCCGTCTGTTCACTAGGAAACAGGGTATTATTATTGATATTTGTTGTTAAAAATAGATGTAGCTAAGTCAATGTTCAAAACAGACAAACTATCATTATACATAAACAGGGCAAAATCATGTTCCACAGCATGCCAAAAACTGTGGGTTGTGTATTCAATAAGGTCTGTGTCTCTAAATTTGCAACTGAACTGTTTTCAGCACCAATTGGGCACGTCCACATGTGCCATTAATACAATACAGGCTTACCGTGCAGTAAAATATTGCACCATAAAACCTTCCCATGAGCATGACTATATTTGCACTGTGTAGTAGATTAGTCTACTGGGAAGTAAACTGCCTTGTGGAGATGCATCCAATGTGCAGTACACAAGTTTCACTAAACTCCCTTGAGACTTAAGCCTAGATGCTAGTCTGCTTATTAGGCACTTATGTGGACTTAGACAAGTAATTCTCAACCACAATATTTTGGTGCTGTTAGGTGCTTTTAAAGGTGCTACAGGGTGCCACACAATATTAGCCCTCTTAGGTGTGAAAACACCTACACAATTCACAAGATAAACCCAGAGATTTCCCTTAAGAATCCACAGTGTCAAAACTAGTCTGTCTCTTCATGGTCTTTCTAAGTTCTTTCCAACAGAAGAATGTCTCTATTACTTTTCTGTAGGCAAAATGAGTGAAAGGTGAGAGCTGGTATTTTCCAAGGGGTGCCTTGCATCTTTTGAGGGGTGCCTTGAGTCTAGAAGTGATATGGGGCCAAAGTGCCCCCTATGCCACAGTGAAACACTGTTAATAAAAAAGGTGGGCCCTCCTTCTCCTCATTGCTTTTCTGTGACTTAGTCTTAAGGCTAAGATGAAAGCATTGTACAAAAATAGATGCATTAACAGTTTTCAGGGCAGGATGGAATGGGATCCCACTTAGCTGTCTACTCAGGTGACTGATTGGTGAAGCAAGTTCTGACCTTCAGAATACAATCCTGAATCCTTCGAAGCCAACAGTTTTGCTAGCAATTTCACTTAAATGGTCTACTTTGGCAGTGAAGTACTTCTTTGTGTCAGCAAAGGAGGCAGAATGTCAACCTAATGCAAATCTCAGTCTCCTCTCAGAACATTCTGTTTGTTTCCAGTGTTCAGCATATTTTTCCCCCACCAGCTATATTAATACCTATGCCCTAATACCTAAAAATGTGAAAGCCAGAAGGGCTCTATCTCATAGGGCATAGCTGTGGTGGTAATAGGGAAAGTGGCCAGAACTAATATGACAGGGCAGGAGGCAATAAAAAAGGATGTTTGTACCTATGATTAAGAATCTAGCCATGGTTCTTAGCCATGATCTAGCTATGATTAAGTGGAAGATGTCCCACTTTTCCTGAGGGCTCATGTCACCATTATCAAGCTCTCAGTCATCAAGAAGCAGCTCATATTCCACATTGCATGACACTGAAGCATGACCAGTAAACATTAGGAAGTCCCCAAGGGCTGCAAACTTGGCAACACCATCTGAACTGGCCCTGTATTAATGCCTGTGAACCTTGTGAGTATACTTGGGCTTGGTTTCAAGTTGATAGTAAATCCCTGGTACTTGCTCCACACCACCTCTTCATTTAAAGCTAGAAACAGATGTTGTATTAGGACCACTTGTGCCTGTGTTTGTACCAGAACAAAAAAGTCATGGATGTGGCATGTACATGCCACCCTTCCAGTTGGGGTTTTAGTGAATGGCTAAATGTACAGCCAATTTTCTTGCATTGATTCAATGATGCAATCTCAGGTGGACTGTTCAGATGCACTGCACAATATCCCAGGACAAACTGTTAGCACTTCTTATCCAGCAAACCTTTTTAGGGCTTGTCTCAGGACAACAGACATGGACATTTGAATGACTGCATTGTGTCCTGAGAAGAATTTCTAACATGACAAAATGAGATGTCTGTTCATAGCCTAAGGGAATCTCACAGTGAAAAACATTTCATACTGGGATTGAGATGCATTAGCTAAGCAGCATGTGGGTGAAACTTGTGCAATGCCTATCTGTTGTTAAATAATGATTTATGTAAACATCAAAATCACATTCATGTTCTTATTTAAAAAATACATATTCAACTACTGCTGAGAACTTTGTCTCTAAGTCATTATTTCTATAGCAAATTTTCACAGTCTAGCAACAAATTCTTAAAAGGAGTTTCTAATGGAAATGCTGATAGGTTGTCAGCTATGCATAGTGGTGAGAATGGCATTACTATAATCAGAATGACCATGAGTCAGTTTAACAAATAATAAAATACCAGTAAATAGATGACGCTTTAAGCCTATTCATTAGGCTCACTTTCTGATGAGTTAAAGCAGACTTCTTACTTCTGGTACATAAACACCCCCAGGCAGTCAAAATCTGTCACGGATAAGGCTGGTGTGACAAAGTTTATTTAGTTCTAGAATACAGTAGTCAGAAAAATGTAAGAAACCACATATGGTGGCATAGTGCTTCTAAGTCTGTAAAGTAGAAGGGAAATTTTCTGGTTAAAAATTCTGATATGTTCTAATAATGTGTTATCCTACTAAAAATAAGATATCTGTGGGACCAGTTTTGAACAATGAGACTGCTAAGAATATTATTACTAAAAAGTGGAACCATTGTTTGAAATGGTCCCCGGCTGGAGGGTTGTTTGGTGGGAAAATATTTTAACAGGGTTTCTTATTAGTGTGATTGTTCTCAAGATATAACACCAGTATTAAAATACAATGGAATGTTCACTAAATGCAGATCTTTAATAGATAGTAAATAGCTCATGGCAAATTTAATTAGATAGACTTTCATTTCAAACTCTTAAAAAAATTATATTCTAGTACATTTAGCAGATTTACTCTAAACTGGCAATCATATTTCAGGATTTAGGAGGCAAATTTCTGGGGGAGACCACTATAGGTTATTGTCTATATTGTATTCACATTGTTCATGGCATCTTATACAAGCTCATTCCCTTCTCCTTATTCCCAGGAGCTGACAATCTAAGGGTCTGAGCCTGTACAAACTGACAATTCTACTGAAGATTTGGAATTACAGGCATGATAAAGTGTTTGTAGGACTGAGCCATAAGTAGACAAAATAAAGAAGTCTGAAGAAGGAAGGAATGAAAAGCAATTGATTGGCAGATTTGGTTTTGATTTTTTTTGACATGTAGCAGTTGTAAAGAGTTCATAAATCCATAACAAATGTATTCCATTAACAACCTTATTGATACAGTGGTACACTATTATATGTTTTAGTCTATTTTTACATATAATTATAAAGCACTTTTGAACAACATTACAACTATGTGCAATGAGGTAGTGGCTTGGGGGTTAACAAATGCTAGCAGGTTACAGTTCCTATAACAGTCGGCCATTCTTTGTCATTCATTCTACCTAGAATGGCTGAAGAGTTTATACCTTTGTATTTAAGTCTCCTCCCCACCTCCACCTCTCCTGCTCCCTGCCCCCAAGATATAGGTGCAATCCTAGGGCCTAGGCCATTTGGAGGTCAATGGAAAAACTTGCATTGACTTCAGCAAAAGTGACATTTCAGCCTTTCAGCTGACTTGCCGCTTATCACTTTTCTTGATTTGATGAAAGGAATCATCAGAGTTATGCAGAGCACTGTGTTAAGTGCTATAGTGGAGCAGAGGTCTTCCAGCAATTGTCTCACTTTTTTAGAGCCTAAATACCAGGTTAGCACAATGGTTGTTTGAGTAGATGCATTTACATGAGATGTTTACTGTGGAGTTGCTTAATTACCTCCTCAATAAACATCTCAGGGTCCTATTAGGCCACAGCTAACTAATAAACTCTACAGTAGGGTAGTACTAGGAAATACAAGTATTATCTTGTTATGAAACTTTTTCATGCACAACAGTATACATGTGGACACTGACATGGATGGCTGGGGCACAAGTGTGGGGGCTGTCTGCCAAGTAGCCCTGCACCAGAGCATCCTTGTGCCTCAGCCAGGACCTCTGCAGCACATTGAGCCTGGTTGGAGCAGCCCTGGACTGTCAAGCTGACCCACTGGGTGGCCTGCCAGCCAGGGCTGCTGTGACCCGGCTTGCCATGCTGCAGTCCTGGACACACATTCAAATGGCACACCTGGAATCAGTAAACTCCAGTACGACGTATACTAGAGTTTATTGCTTCATGTTAATAATAGATGTAGAAGAGCCCAGAGTTAACTAAGCATGTAACAAAGACCCTGTCTATCCTCTGTTCTGCAGTCCTTACTAA